AAGAGGTTTTGGGGATAGATAGGGTGTGGGTCAACAGGGCCCACCCTCTGGGAAAAGATAGCAAGGCAATCATAGCACATATTCCCGAAGATTCCGACATTACATACATCCTTAGCCAGACTAGGAGACTGAGTGGAACTGGGTACATTATACATAGGGACTTTCCTCGGGAGATTAGGGACAAACGGTCTTACCTTGTATCAGTGCAGGCTGAAATACAACGAGTGGTGGGTGACGGCAAGGTGAAGATGCAGCTAGTTCATGATCATCTGTACGTGAAGGGACACAAGTTTACATGGGAAGAGGGCTGTCTAAGATCTGGTCCAACCAATGGCGCAAACATCCTTAAAGAGCTTTTTCGACACAAATTTTCCAACTTTATTGCCAAACTACCGAGCGAGAAGGCAAACAGGCGCAATGAAACTTCAACTGTGACACAGACACCAACGCCATCTCAGACCTACGCAGGGGCAGTGTCCAAGGAGCCTTCGCAGATGGCAGAGAACAAGAAATCTACCTCAGTTTCCTCGGGTCCATCCCAAGCAGACGACATCATCAAATCCCCACCGCAGGCCGAGGTGTGAGAGGGCTACGCCAATCCTCCACAAGACCAAAGGCAAGAAATTGATCTTTATCAGGGACTTTTTAGGGCTCTGGTTTATAATGTTTGTGGGCTCAAAAGCAAGGTTAGTGATACCAATTTTTTAAATGTTTTAAAAATTTATGATTGTATTTTTTTTTTTTTTTTGAAACCTTTATATCAGAGAGTGATGTAGTTTTTATTTCAGCTCAGCTGAAGAATTTCAATTTGTTTTTTAAGTTAGCCGTCAGGACTGGAAATGTAGGGAGGTATAGTGGTGGAGAGATTATAGCAATTAATAAATCATCTCCTTTTATTGACAGCTTGACTTGTGTCGAAGAACATAATTTTAACATTGTAAAAGTGAGTTTCATGAATACACAAAGCTTTCTTTATTTTTTGCCTTTTTATTTAAATTGTAACAACTGGGAACAAGACTTCGAAAATCTAGTTACATTACTTAATAGCAGTGAGAAAGAAAATTGGGTTTTATTAGGGGATTTAAATTGTAGGACAGGGGATGAACAGGGATTTTTAGACGGAGAAGTTAGCAATATAACAAAAAAACTCAGTGATTTTCGGAAATCAAAAGACAAAATCATTAACAGTAGAGGGCGCAAAATTTTAGAGTGTTTTGACAACACAGTTCTTATTATTTTGAATGGGAGATCTGAGAGTGATAAGGAAGGGGAATTTACTTTTATAGGGTCATTGGGTTCATCAGTCATTGATTACGCGGCTGTGTCTGTAAATTCTTTACGTCTAATCAATGATTTCAAAGTAGTGTCGTACCCAGGCTCAGATCATCTTCCATGTGAAATTAGGTTAAATGTTGCAAATCCTAGGGTCGCTGAAGGGGAGTGTGGTAAAATCTTACCTTTACTTCCTAAGCTAAAATGGACCGCCAGTGACTGTTTAAACTATCATAAACGTACTAATTTATTATTTTTTTAATGTTGTTTGTTGTTGTTCCGGATCGGTATGACATACAATAAAAGGTTAAATTACCTGTGTCCGCCAGTCGATCCTTGTGTGCTGTGTCCAGGGCCGGATTTAGCATTTTGGCGCCCCTAGGCCCAAATAATTTTTCCGCCCCCTAGTCTGGTCACAGTTTCTTTCCTACAAACCTTTATTAAAAACTATATAATTCCTATTTATAGGCCTATGTTAATTGCTTGAACACCACTCCTCGTCGGAATTTTATAATTGCAAGTTTTTTGAAGAATTGTCTTGGTTAGCCTTAACAAAATGCCGTCTTAAACACTTTTGTCAGTTTTATACTTTTGGCAAATGCTCACGCTTGTGGGACTGAAACAAAACAATCCAAACCACAGAGCATTCCTGCAAAAAAGCATATCCATTGATTCCAATTTCAGGCCCCAAAACATGAACGCCATAACAGTACGTGATACCATAGATTAAACATAGGCCTACTACTTTAGTAGATTTGTCATCCTTAGGGATTAGCTGAAAACAATTCTTTTTATTTAAGTTATTTAAACCTTGTTTGTTCAAAATAAAACGATGTAATCATAAACAGTAGGTCGTCCCCAGGTTATATTACAAGAAATTAAAACACACAACATAGAACTATCCATAAAATAATAGAAACAAAATTACGTGAAAAGTAACTTCCAGTGTCACCAACATATATGAACTAGACATTAAAAACTATATTTAGATTAGAATTAACAATGTGATAAAAAGTCGACTTGAGTTTATGGTTAATCTATGGAAGTACTGCATCCAGATTATATTTGCAAAGCAAAACAAAGCAATAGTCCCGCCGACCATAATTATCCTCAGGTCTAAGCTGAGGAGAAAATGACACCATTAATGATTTCTTTGGAGGGGATTTAATTTTTCTAAAACCTGTTGCAAACTCAGATAAATATTTTTTCGTTATTGAATTTTAGATAAATTGATAAAGATAAACTTATAAAAGACAAGATAAACTTATCGTATTTTTAATACGTATTCAACAAAACGTATTATATATTTTAACTTGACCCTGCAGGTAAACTGATCAAAAGATTAGTTAATGATTTTTACCTACGACCGTTTTTTAAAGTAGCCATTTCAGTCCAGTTCTTAGAATTGAAAAGTTTCACTTTACAGCTGTTTACTTTCATATCCGCATAGTTTCATTTCATATCCGCGTAGTTTTCTCATATCCACACAGGTAACGGACCAATGAGGTTCAAGTATTGAGAGAAAAGAATTAAAATTGTAATGCTTCGAACGTCAACTAATCAGCTGATCAGCTGATCAGTTGACCAATTTAATTGTTGATCCGACTTGTTCATGTTGATACTCGCGTATTCTTAATTAAGTTGGTGGAAGTCCAAAAACAAATTAAATATTTGCCAAATTGTACCTGATACAATATTATTTATGGTAAGAATGCTGCTAGCAATGTAATATTTAACGAAGTTTAACAAACACTTAATTACAGGAAATCAGCTGATTATACAACAAGTCGTTGCATCACTTTCAGTGGCAATGACAATACACGAAAACATAACCTCTCTAAAAAGTTATCAGTAGTTATTGTTAGTAATTAAATCCAGATTGATAGTAATTAAAAAACGGTCGTAGGTAAAGTAGTGTACGCAACTCGCGTTAATAGTCTTTACAACACTCGTAGAAGTTTTTAAGGCACTCGCCAAGGCTCGTGCCTTAAATTTTCTACTCGTGTCGTAAAGACTCACTTAACGCAATCGTTGCGTAAACTACTATTTTTTGTGAGGTGAGGGTGGTAAACGGTAATATCACAGACAATATAATACTTTAACCATTAAAGTATTATATTGTCTGTGGTAATATGGTGTCTAGTACGCATGCGCCCCCAATCACTCCGATCAGTAGCGCCGAGCCAGCATAGTGGCAGTGCAAAGATTACAGTGGCAATACGATCTCGAAAAGGTCGAAAGATTACGCCATCTCGAAAAGGTAAAATTTGGACGTCGAACACTGATCTTGAGTAAGATTAATCACTTACGATAAAATGTTTGTATGTTTACCAATCATTAGCAATTATCTGTACAACTTGCAAGCGGATTTCCCTATGATTGTTCTGGTGGCTATAGAGAATAAAATATATTGATCATAACAATAAGTTTCCGTCCCCTACTATGGGTATTATTTCACATTCCATACTCAAACTTAAACTCAATTACCACTTTCCTTCAGATCACTTTGCAGGAAAACTAAAACATGTTTGTGTCCCAGTTAGTCTGTTCTGACTCGAAATTAATAGATTTGAAGTAGTGACAAATCCAATCTAACGACCCCAATTCAAAAGAGTTGGTATTTTTTTTGTAGGGACTTCCAGGGCACATTTAACACCTACACTGCTCTTTGCCTTTTTAGTTCGACGGTTCTCTACATTTTTTATTTTTAATATTCGTCAAATGTTATGATAATCGTATTTAGGCCTACTTATCGTGCAGTGAAAATGCCGTATGGAATAACAATTTATATTTGCTTTGCTTAGTCCAAAAATGACTCGAAATGTTGTTGAAATGACGGCATAAATTATGAAACGAAGTACAAAAGAAGATTTAGATGGGTAATAATGTACAATAATTAATTATTCACTTCAAATATTTATCATTGCCATATTATTTTTGTTTTCACGAAAATATTCATCATGGTTATTGTTATCTTTATTATGTACTATTTCCTAGATTGTAGTCGAGTAAATCCGTACGAGAACCCTAAAAAAATTGCTTTAAATTGTTTTATTGGTTATTTTGACTTAGAATTATGTGTATTTTCCAGAAAAAAAGTCTAATGAAATCGGAGTCTCGGAAGTCCAAAATTCAAGATGGCGTCCAAGATTTTGGTCAAATGTGTCCGTTAGCACAATAACTCAAGCAAAAATGATCCGAATTCAATGAAATTTGGTACAAACATGTAAACCTACATTTATTTGAACGAGTTCACGAACCAGCATGATCGGATTATGGGAACAAGGGTTTATGGGGGGTTTTATGGGGTAAAAATTGGTTTTCCCCATTTTTGACCCTAAAAACGTAAAATATTGCAATTTATTTCGAAACCATTTTAGGGCTCAGAAAAAAAACCATTTAGTACATTGAAGCGTTATGGACCTAATACCTAGTTACGGAGAAAATTCCTAAAAAATTTAAATTTAAAATTCCTATGTTATTCTTACGGAGAATAAGAAAACTTGTTGTAGTTAGCCGTATATGAAAATATTTTTATCAAATTTGGTAAATGCATTTGTTTTATACTAAACTATTTAAAGTTTTACTAAAGACATTTTTTACCCTCCCTGTCGCAGCAAACCGAAGTACTAGTTAAAGAATTGCTATTTATATAGGGAATAAATGTGATATTTGAGTGTAAATTCAATCAGGCAAATTATTCTTATAGTATAACATATATGAATAAATACAAAATTTGAAATCCGTTTATTGAACAATTTCTCAGAGCTGTTTATGAAGAACTTGAGTCACACACACAATACAAAATACTGTAAACAAATAGTTTCTTGCAGTAATATACACTGGTACTGCTTTAAATTGTGTATACTAGGAAAATTAACGATAGCTCTAGTAGTTAAGGATTTAAAAACGTATGGTACATAAAAGAACACTTATGAGTCCTTGTTTTCGTCAGAGGGAGATGTGTGCCAAGTGAGCCGTTCCTCGTAGAACTGTATCACAATCTGCGGACACTTTAGGTTAGCCTGTTTGGCGGGCACAAGATCAGCCTCATCAGTCCCTGAAACGAAGAAATACAAGTATTATAAACTGAAAAAAATCTGTTAACACTTGGCAATAGTCGATACTTACCCGATCTGATTCCTCAGCCATTTCAATGTAAGTCCGGCCAAATAAGAAATTAGTTTCACTCTTGACAATTAGACACTCATATAGTTCGTCACCGATGATGATGATGATGATGTCGGCAGCGGCTGATGATGAGGTAACCAAGGTCAGTTAAACAGGCTAATGATTAACACATATCTTTTTTGTTTCGTTAACATTGAAACACACAGTCTAAGTCAATTCTCCGAATAAAAGAGGGTAATGCATCTGATACCTAGTCATACTTTTAACGTTTTCATAATTTATGTCTACACGATTTATATAGCCTAACTAATGACACAAAATGAAGAAGGCCTATTACCAAAAATATGTGTGGCAATAATAATGTACTGTACATTCTGGTACAGTGGACCCCAAACAACAATAAGTAGGCCCAACAACAAATAAGTAGCATATTTAGGTTTTTTAAGAAAAGGCTAAGCTACACAATTAGGTTTGCTCACTAACTTATTTCATAATAATAGCCCTATACAGGGTGTTCAAAATAGGTGGGGACTTTGTGTACGTAGTGATTCCTTAGGTCAAAATAAAGAGAAAATTATGAATAAAACCTTTTACAAAATCACTTTATTAACCAAATATCCACCATTTTGTATTTTTTACATAGTTTTTATCTTTAGATTGTTCCAACCGATCTTTAAGAAACTTAAATATTAGCCTATGTTAAGGTAGAAGAGACCCATAAGAAAAAAAAGTTAGGCCTAATTTGATAAAATTCAAAATGACAGTCAGTTTCATTTAAAAAATTTTAATACGGTATTAACTACAAAATAGAACAAATATTGAAAAAAGATTTTCAAGGCTACTTTTATTTAGCATTTATCATTTCCTATCAAACGACAGCAAGTTCAAAAAGATTGAATTAAACATAACTGTAATATCAGGATTTTTATTTCTACAATGAGGCCTGACTCTAGCTTGGCCTTATTCTACCCCATTTTACAACTAAACATTGTGAATATTTCAGTTATTTCTTAATCAATCTTTTTGAGCTTGGCGTCGTTTGATAGGAAATTTTAACAGCTAAATATAAGTTATCCTGACATTTTTTCATTAAATCAGCCATTTGTTGAAATTTTTAATTGGATCAAGGTAGCTCTTTTCTAAGATGGGTCTCTTCTAACTTCACATACATACCAAGTTTAATCAAGTAAGGTAGGAACTATAAGATACAAATTTGTATATTTAATAGGCCAACATGAATTTTGTGATGATAGTTTTGAATCTGCTTCGCATCCGATCACTAAGTCTAAGGTGTTGTTGAATAGGTCGTGGCATATAGAAAAACAAACAAATCTTTTACAAAAATCCCAGGGACAGTCTAGACTCTATAGTTTCTAGGTTGTTAAAGAATGTTAATAGAACCCAGTCTTTAGTCATGAAATACACTTGTGGTGCACACCCAGCACACGTCGATACACACGTGGTGCAAGGGTGGTATCGTTTTCAAATAATCCAAAATTAATATTTAACTATAGCCTATAGAAAATCACATTAAATCTGAAAAAAATCAGATTTAAGGCCTATTTAGTTTGCAATAATTTACGTAGTCTTTGCTGTTTCTTGTGTGTGAAAGTCGGTAAAGTATTTTTTTTTCAATGATTATTTATTTTTTTATTGATGATAACCTAAATAAATAATCATTGAAAAAAATCCTTTTTACCGACTTTCACACACAAGAAACAGCAAAGACCACGTAAATTATTGCAAACTCAATAGGCCTTCTGCCGTCTCCATCTTTACTAACAAAATCAAGTTACCCGAAAAAGCAAAAAAATCCATAAGCCCTTCTTTTCCTAAAAGAGAATGTCGAATTTTAGTTCTTTAGTTTTTATATAAAAATTCAATAAGGTAATGATCCTTATTATAATATATAATATATATTATGTTGGCCTATCTAATTAACAATACGATTTTGGTTAAAGTTTTTATTCTTGATTTTCTCTTTACTAGACCCAAGGAATCACTACGTAAATGATGTACACCCAACCTTTTTTGAACCTCCTGTATATTTTGCTAGCTAATATTAAATGTTTAAAGAATGTACTACCTTTCCATTTAATCAAAAACATGAGCTCTCCACTCGAATCCGTTGCTCCTATGATCTTCTCTGGGTCTAGCTTCTTATAAAATCCCTTTGGCGCTTCAGACTCAGTGTCCACCTTTTTTTGTTTTGAGGGTTTGGGCGCGTCTTCATCCTTATCATCTTTCCTTTCCCTTTTGTTTTCCTTGTTTGATGGAGTGGAGGACGTGGATGGTCTAGCTTTCTTCTTTGCTGGACCGGAAACCGAAGGCTTCTCTTCCTTCTTCTTCTTTAAGTTGTCCTCGAATTCTTTAATAAGGTCTGGGCAATCCAGGTTCTCATGTGGTTCCCATGTGTTTTCACTGTCTGGGTAACCTTTCCATTTCAGGAAATACTCAACCTTACCCTTAACAATCCTCTTGTCCAATACCTTTTCTACCGAGTACTCCTCTTCTTCCTCTGCTCCAGAGGAGTTGTGGTCGGGAGATGCAGAGGCCTTTGATTTCGGCATCTGAAAACAAAGTTCATAATTAGCACCATAAAGAATGTTAATTAAATTTCAGTTAAAACATGCAATGGACATCTTTAGAAGAAATAACACCCATCCTTCCCAGATTGACAGTCAAAATATTATCAGTCTGGCAAATATTTGTAAAATGAAATAGTATATTACGTTATTAGCCCTGAAAATAAGGGTTTACTGGTCGAGTGACTTACGATATTTTACACTATACTACTCTAAGCCAACTTAACAATAAAAAATCCTTATAGATACCCACCAACTAAAGAACTAAAATCACTACTCATAACCTCTAAGAGAGGTTATGTTTTTGTTATTACCACTTATTGCCAAATATTATCAGCTGGTTGGTGTCTGGTAAAAATTCATTACAGTACAGTACAGTAGTACGTAATGAAACCCCATTTGACACCCGTTTTCTGGACTAAATCCTTGCTTGGGATGTTTGTTAAAACATTGTAGTGTGGCGTAAAGAAGTTTATTTTAATTTATGGATTCTTTTTTATACTACTGTAGGTACTATTAGTAAACATAACCATCGAAACTTCTTGATGCATAACGACTTTTTAAATATAAAAAAATTGCCAAGGACATTTGGTTCGTCCTAATACTGTAGCAGTTTGGACAAAAACAAGAGGTAAGGAGAGGCTTTATGAGAGGATTTAAGTTAGGAGATGAAAAGAAGAAGTTTGCTCTTCAAGTCAGTAAATGCAATGGGAGTTTAGAATGCAGCAAAGAGAAATAAATTTAATGTTTGATCATCGCAAACTAATCTTATTGAACTAATCGCATGTGAGGAAGGTAGGTCTTTATGTGGATTTGTGACTTTTTCATGGTGGTTTTTTACATGTCGCATGTAGGCTAGCCTAATTTGTTGGTTTTGTTTGATTTCATTGCATGTAAACCACCGTTTCTTCCCTACTCCCCATCAGGTCTTAGTCACACACTAGAACTCGGGCTCGCCCAAACCACCATCTCAACAGCCCAATAAAACTTAAATTTGTAATCTTTGATTTGTTTTTCGGAAACATAACGCTATCCAACAAAAAATAATTTAATATTTGGATTCTGCATGAAAAAAATTGACGAATAAAAATTAAAATTCTAAGTGATCATTATTGGTGAAACGATAAGTAGCCTATGCTAAATATTCAACTTTTACCAGTTATGTTAACTTAGTCTACTGATTGAATTATTGTAGGCCTATTAGGTAGGCCTACTTTTTTTGGGTTCATGAAATAGAATATTAACATTTTGTTACACATTTCATTTATTTTATTTTATACCAATGGTAGAACCAAAAATAATCAACAAACAGTTATCCAGCTTATAACAAGTAAATAACAATGTAACAATCAATAAATACCCCTGCCGCAGCAAACCTGCAGACTAAGCGAATTCCAACTTGTCTGATTACATTTTTACTCAAATATTTCCATAAATAAGATATATTTATTCCCTATTTAAATAACATTAGATTTAACGAGTGCTTAGGTTTGCTGCTACAGGGAAGGTAAAAAGGGCTTTTTGACCAAATGTCAATAGTAGGGCCTATAGGATGAAATAAATACATTTGCCAAATGTTATCAATCCCTAACCAAGTCGTCCTACATCCCTAAACAAGTAAACTACAACAATTTTCATTTTCTCATTAGAATAACATGGAAATTTTAAATTACACTAATTTTGAATTTTCTCTGTGGCCGTTAGGCATACAACAGCGCTTCAATATACTAAATTAATTATTTTTTTAAGCTCTACAAACGGGTTTAAGCAAAATTTTTTTGTTTTTAGGGTAAAAAATGGGAAAACCCCATTTTTACCCCATAAAACCCCCCATAAACCCCTGTTCCCATGGTCCGATTATGCTGGATCGCGAACTCGTTCAAATAAACGTAGGTTTGCAGGTTTGCACCAAATTTAATCAAAATCTTTGTTCGAGTTATCGCGCTAACGGACACACATATATAAATATATATGAATTAGGAAAACTGTAGTGATTAGGGCTACTATTTTGATATGTAAATGCATTATTAAAACTAAGTACCCTTTTTTTAAATTCATTTTATTTAACAACGACTAGTTTCGACGATTATGTCATAGTCATGTTGTTTTTATATCTAACAAATACAATAAACATTTTATCTAAATAATAAATACAATCATATGATTTCATAGGTTTTGATGACTGACTTTAGATTTCTTCTGTTTTAAATGGTCTTTATACTATATATATAATAACTTTCTCTCTTAATTTAACTGCAGGATTTTTTCAAATATTGGATTGCATTTGTTGATGTTCATTGTGTTTAGTAAATTTTCTGGGTGTTGTTTATAGTTTTTGTAAATGTAAAAATCTTCTTTAACATGTAATTTTGATTTGTCTTTTTCATATTCAAGGATTATGCTGGATCGCGAACTCGTTCAAATAAATATAATTCGTTCTTCTTCGTCACCATGTCACGAGCCTTGTTGAAAATGTCTCTGGTTATCGGTGTCAGGTGGTCGTTGAGGTAAATCTGTTGGTCGGGAAAACCGACGTGAAGATCTCGGGCTGACAGAGTCCTCCTCTTCCTCCTGGCGTCCATCCAGCCCCACTTGACTGTACGAGAAACGAACTTGACAACTATCGGTGGAGGTCATATATATATATGAAATATATATGAATTTGAACGGATGGTGTTTTTGGTCTCTCTAGGGACCTCAAAATGAAAAATTAAATCGGTCCCGGGTCCAGGTCTTACCATGAGTACTACGGTAATAGCTTATTCCCTATATGAGAAATTCGCTAAAAACAAAAGAAAAATAACAATTAACTTAAATAGTAAAAATTATAATAAATAAATATAATGAAACCGAACAAGTAACAAATAGCATGAGACTAAAAAAAAAAAAAATGGTGAGTGAATACATTGACAAAAGTTCCATTAAATGCTAGGTCTACTGATAATTCGTTGCTCGCCAAGGACAGTGAGGAACTTCCTTCGAGCTAGTTTGAGAAGAAGAAGTCCACAAAACTTGATACCATGTTCCCAGGCAAAGAATCCTAGCGAATGGACTGTTGGCGTCATAGGATGTTGATCTGAAACGCCAGCCAAAAAATACTCTGGATCGAGTTCTGCCCGGATCCCTGATGTCAATCTCCAGATTTCTGGACAACTGAGAAAGCCATTCATAATCTTGTATAGGAGACACAGGTCGGCAACATCTCTCCAAAGTTCTAAAGGAGGCAATCTCAGCATCTGTGCACAGTCGTAACCCACGGGAGCATCTCTATGGGAGTAGCCACTTCTAACACAAAGACGAAGAAATCTTCTCTGGATGGTGTCCAAGCGTTGTCTTCGTCGCAAAGTCTTGACACAACAGAGCCAATCTTGACAGCCATGTGACGATCAGTCAGGTAGTCTTGAATTCAACTAAGAATGGGTCAAGGAATCCATACCCTTTAGTTAAGAGATGAGAATTGTGGACCATCTTGTCAAACGCTTGTCAATAGCAAAATCAATATATATAGTATCCAGTTTGGTATCCCTTTCTCACTGCCGAGAGAGCCTTTCCTTGAATAAGCATTAAGTTGGTTGTAGTAGACCTCCCGTAGTTACACGTAGATTGTAGGCCTACATATTTTAATGTGCTTTTTATCTGTCAATTTAAATTTGCAAACAATTTGATGTTCGAGTTAAAACACACGAGAAGACCCGTGTGCAAATTGTACATTCTAATAGCCGTGAAAACAAAAATTAAAATAATATAGGCTACAGTAGGCCTACCTACCCTTTTACCTTTCAAAGATTAAGTAAGTACAGATTAGGCCTATATAGTTTCAGACTACATACAATAGACTAGACATTTATTATAATAGGACAGTTATTATCGGCCTACTTCGAACACAATATTTAGGCTGTTTGAGGGGAAGTTCCCCCACCACTTTTTCTTGTATTTAATGTAAGTTGCTTGATCAGCTATTGAGCTTTTTTTTACTCTTTTAATGCTAGAATTTTTTTGCTTGATTTTCAAACAAATGCTAGGCTTGCCACGAGGCAAAATCTAATGTATGTCATGCAAGTTACATGCAAGAAAGAAAATTGGTAAAAATAAAATTTTTCATCTCAAAGTGCTAAGGAACGATAGCCTATATTGGGCCTCAATTGTACAAGGAATCGAAAGAAACCATCGCTGTTTTGAAAAACAGCCGAGTCAACAGGTAGGCTAAGCCCATTTATTTAAACTCGTTTGATCGAAGGTCCCGCCGGCACAATAAGCTTATATCGCTTCTTATCAGATGAAACATGAACAACGATATATCGTCGCATAGCACTGAAAGGGTTAAAGGTAAGGATCAAGTGGAGGGGACAAGTTATATTTCTTTTTCTAAAACCGCCTAAATATTGTGAACATAGTTTAACTTAGGTGAATGAAATCATAAGCAGGCCTAAGTTACTAATTTGTACTAGCCTATAGGCTAAATTAAATTTGTGTATTATAGATCTAGCCTTTTCTTGTGGCGCTCTAAAACTTCTTTTCCCAACAACAAACTAAGAACTGATCAGGAATGGAGGGAGATGAATGCAACCTGTGCTTTTGGAGGGCTACAATTTACAGCTGGTCCAATGGCCTGCGAGTATTAAAATTACGGCAAATTTAAACCGTTCAAATGTACTCCACTCTCCCCTAGGCTATCTTAGGCCACTTTTTAGGAGTTTTTCAGTTAATTAAACACCAAACAACCATGGTGGGTCGATTAATTGTACTAAACCGTGAAAAAATTAGAGGGAATAGGTCTAAGGATGTTGTAGGCCCTAACTAACCCAAGTAAAACCTATTGAAAAGTTTTAGGCCCTAACTTACTCACTTCCCTATGTTCTGGCCAAGCATAGGGAAATTGTTGACATAGGCCTAGGTTTAGACCTAGTTATTCCATATTATTTATGTTGGCCAACATTATAGTGTACAAACACACTTCTGGTAGTTCATGAAACTAAAATTTAAGTCATATTTTATGATTAAACGTAGCTGAGACAAAAGTCAGAATAAAAATCATCATGCAGGAACAGGAGCACAACATCCTCGTTTGAGATTTAGGCCTAGGCCCTACCAACACAAGCATAAGTAACCTAGAGATTCAAGAGATTCAAGAGAGAGAGATTCAAGAGATTTATTTATACCATTAAGTAAATAAATACAATAGGTAACGTCACTATTCTAAAATAAACAAACCAATGCATATAAATAATTAAATGTTCATAATTACAAACCATGCTGAAATAAAAAATGGTTAATCTTCACAGCAAACAAAACAGCAAACCATGCAGTTATGGCAAACAAAAGAAAATGAAAATTGTGACACATTTAAAACTTTAAAACTTTTTAAAACCTAAATTTATACCTAAATTTATATGTAGGAAATTACCCATGTCTCTTACCGTGATTATAATCTGTTGATCAGTTTAATCAGCGTAACGTAAATTCGAAAGGTAAAATGTCGGGAAATGGAATGATGGAAGATCGGACGATGGAGAATCTCTACAAACCGCCAACAACAAAACAACGGCGTCGTAAGCGGCGAGGAAGGACGCGAGACGCGACGCGCGAAACTAAAATGAGAATTGAAAAAATATTGAACCAGCCTTTGGTTAATAAGAAATTCAATACTATATTACATATTTATTTAATTTTGTAGCCTTCTTGTGGACAGAGTTGATTTAATATACGGTTGGAAATAACAATAAAGTACGTTTATATAGCCTATAACGATGACGATAAATATTTAACATCATATATTCCATTTATGGATAAAATACCCCCACCTCAGTAAACCTGCATACTTAGCAAATTTCCATTTCCTGATTGGATTTACACTTAAATGTCTCCTTAAAAATAACCACATTTATTCTCTATTTAAATAGAATTAGTTTAACGAGAACTTAGGTTTGCTGCAACAAGGGAGGGTAAAAAAGTGTTTTTGTTGTAAAATATTAATACCATAGATAAAACCATAGATAAAACATACTCCCTTGTGTTGGTTAGTCTATGATAAAACATACTCAATACCTACTGTAATTTAGTAAGAAATGGATGTACTTTCCAAATGTGATCAAAATATGTTCATAAACAAGCAAACTACAACAGTTGACTTATTCTCCATAAGAATAACACGGGAATCTTAAATTTACAATTTTTTGGAAATTTCTCCGTAAGCATTAGGTATTTTTTTTAAGCTCTACAAACTAGTTTGGGAAGAAATTGTGAAATAATGTATTTTTAGGGTCAAAAATGGGAAAAACCTTATGATCTTCCCCCATAAAACCCTCCATAAACCCCCGTTCCCATAGTCCGATCATCCTGGTATGTGAACTCGTTCGAATAATGAATTTAGGTTTACACGTTTGTACCAAATTTAATCAAAATCTGATAATTTTTGCTCGAGTTATCGTGCAAACGGACATTCCTAGAAGTAGGAAACCAGACAGGATAATCAGACTGTATGGTACAAACAAACCAATGTACTGTAGGCCTACTATGTATAACCATAGACTAGCCAACACAAGGGAGTATGTTTTGGACAGCCTATGTCGTTACTTATGCAGCAGTCTGGGTCAAAAATTAAGATATTAAAATTTGTTTGTTTAAAGATGTTCTTTATGTGTATATATTATAAACAACCTCTTAAAAAGCCCAGAGATATAACAATAAGCTTAATTGTTACTGTTGTTATACTAAGTTTTTGTTAGCACGTTTATAAGCTCAATCTACCCACGGCCACCGAAGGTATACCACAATTCTACTTTCAATAATCATATCATATAATGCTTTCAATGTTTCAATTAGCTAATGAGAAATCCCTACAATGAGTGAAAACCCGTTATGCCATGGACTAACCAACAACCAACACTAGTAATACAGTATGTTGTATCCATGGTTATACCTTTGAATAAACTTAACATGACCAAACCAAATCACTTGATTAAATAGCAATATGCATTAATAAATCATTTAAAATGTGTATCATTATTTGTTATTATTGAACCAAATACGATTACTTCACCTGAAATGACATTTGATATAGTACGCTCTATGTGCAGAGGCGACGCTGTATTGGATATCATAATGGCGTTGGTCGGCGCAACATTCAGCTCTTCTGCTAGCTGTCATTATTAGTGTTACTCGTAGTCATGGCGGACGAGGACTCGAACGTAAATGATGATACTCCCGCGAATGACTTGAATGCTGTGTCCTATTACAGGATATGCATTTCGGCAGAATAAATTGCCATCATAATATTATTATTCTGCCGAAATGCATATCCTGTAATAGGACACAGCACACAAGGATCGACTGGCGGACACAGGTAATTTAACCTTTTATTGTATGTCATACCGATCCGGAACAACAACAAACAACATAAAATGAAGTTGTCAGCCAGCCAGGCAAAAGTTGTACTAATTTAAATTTAGAGTTAGTTACAATTTCTGATGATAACCAAGAAAATATTAATCAGGTAATTAAGTGTGTTTACAAATCTGCTGAACAGAAACCAAACAGTGTTGCTAAAGGTAATAAAATAATAAACATAAATCCTTGGTTTGACTTTCAATGTTTAGCTGAAAGGAAAAAATGTTTAGGCTTTTAAATTTATACAGGAAAACCAATTCAGAGGAAGTAAAGAAAAGCTATCTCACACAATTCAAAAACTATAAAAAACTGTGTACTTAAAAAAAAATCTTACTACGATAAAATTATATCAGATCTAAATGATAGCAAAAGTGATAGCAAGTCATTCTGGCGGGCCATTAACACCTTCAAAAGGAGAAATGACAATATTGTGGGAGATATATCTCCAACTAATTGGTTAAATCATTTTATGAATTTATTGAATCCACCACTTTTGACAGGGTCGATAAGTTATGCAGAACCGCTAATAGATAACGACCAGCTGGATAATCCTTTCACTTTCGGTGAATTGAGGAATGTTTTGAAATCAGTGAAATCCGATAAAGCACCTGGACCAGACAGAATACCTTATGAATTTTTCAAAAATGCCTCAGATGAATTTTTAAATATGTTACTAATGGTATACAATAACATTTTTATTAGTGAAACAGTACCAAAAACATTTAAAGAATCGATTATTTTTCCTTTACACAAAAAAGGCGATATTAATTTAGCTGATAACCACCGAGGTTTGTCTTTTATGAATAGCATTACGAAAATATTCACGAGCCATATAAATATTAGATTACAAACGTGGATGTGCGAGAATGAAGTACTAACAGAATTTCAGGCAGGTTTCAGAAGAGGATACGCCACCATCGATAACATATTTAATCTGACATGTATAATTAATTTACGTCTATTACAAAAGGGACAACAGCTTTATGCATTCTTTGTAGATTTTAGCTCGGCTTTCGACACAATTGATCGGAGAGCATTGCTTTTCAAATTGGCAAATTTAGGTGTCTCCACGCGAATGCGGAATGTTTTAAAGAGTTATTACAGTGAAACAAGTTCTAGTGTGTGGTGCGGAGGCGGAATAACCAGTTATTTTCAAACTAATACAGGTTCAAGACAAGGATGTAATCTGTCACCGACTTTATTCAGCCTATTTGCCAGAAGTGGTGGAAGGGGGGTGTAACGTTAATAGGGTTAAAATAAATGTGCTACTTTATGCAGACGATATTATTCTCCTTTCCCCAACGAGCACTGGGCTGCAACATATGATTAAAAATTAGAAAACTATTGTGACACTTGGAATCTAACTGCCAATCTAAATAAATCTAAGATAATGGTGTTCAGAAAGGGTGGAAGACTAAAGGCAGGTGATAAGTGGAGGTATAAAGGGAACGTTATCGAGGTGGTAAATCAGTATAAGTATTTAGGGGTTACATTTACAAGCAACCTATGATGGAACAGTCATTTTAAGGAAAAAGCCAGAGTAGGAACATTTGTTATCAATTCTGTATGGAATTCTTTATTTAAAAACAATAAAGTGCCAATCATTTCCAAAATATCGTGTTTCGAGGCTGTTGTGCGATCTACAATCTGTTATGGAGCACAGACCTGGGGTTTCATAGAAAGTGAAATAATAGAAACAGTATAAACTTTTTTTCTAAAAAGAATATTTGCATTGCCTTATAATACGCCAAAATATGTATTGTACCTTGAAACATACTTCGATAAACTTTATTTTTACACTATAAATTTAAATATTAACTATATTTTGAGATGTTTAACTTTGCCACCCAAACGATTGCCAAACTTTTTAGCAAAACAAATAATCGAGAAAAAAACATCTTGGTGTAGAGAATGGGAGTATTTGGGACAAAAATGCAATATTGAGTTTAGGTTCCAAGATCTCGATCCAGAGGGTGGGCCTCCAGCTGAGGACGGTGGCGGAAGTGTTGCGTGGCAGGTGGAGGGAGGAGTGTGTAGGCCGAGCGCGGACCTCTGTCCACCACAGGCAATTACTGATGCTCGACCTTGAACTTGGCGATAGGAGCCCAATAATGCTCAACAATACGCATATCGCTTCTTGGGCTATTAAAGCTAGAGCAGAACTGATAAATCTAAACTACAAGCCGTGGTCTGAACAAAATTATCTTTGCACTCTCTGTAATCTTCAACAAAATGAAACTGCATATCATTTCATTGCAATTTGTCCTATTTTAAAACATATCAAACGTCTTTGGCTTGGAAAAAATACTTTAAACGAAACAGAATATGAGTGTTTTTTAAATGGGCGGAATTGGTGAGCTTTAGCCCAGTATTTAAGTAAGGCATGGAAATATAGGTGGGACATAATTAATGAATTCAATTTATAGCTAAAATTTCTTTCTTTCTTTATTCCTCTTAAATTATAATTAAAAATCATGAGACTCGCTTGGAACCACATTTTTAAACGAATTAATGTTGCTTTTATTTTAGGTTTTTTACTAGCTGTATTACATATTTAAAAATAATTATAAATGTACTTTTTTATACAAGTATACCTAGTGAAATAGTTACATGTTACAGTTTTAAAATATGTTATTTTACAGCAAGGTGACAACCAAAACAGACGGTTTAAATAAACCATTGTTTTGTGTGTTTTGTTTTTTATTGTATAAGATGTAAATAAGTTGTGAAGAATAAAGCACTTTTTCTTTCTTTTCTTTCTTTCTTTCTATTGACTTTTATCGTGGATAAAGCCAGTCGAGCACTATAACCACTCAGCTAGGGGCGTTCTGTGTTCAACTTAGACTTCTTTCACACCAGCGCGGTGCGGCACCGACCCGCACCATCGATGCGGGGCGACCCGCAAGGCCCTTTCACACTAGCTGCCCGGATCCGGGCGTTTCCAGGCTGAAACTTTGTGATTTTTGGATGCATTTCATTCAGATAAATAAAAATAGGGTGGTTATGCTACTTGTTGTATCCGAAAATAAAATATAGTGCCCCCTTGCTAAATAACCTAATTGGATCGATGCCGGGTGTGTGTAAAAATGTCAATTCCTTGTGTTTTTTAAAGTTATGGTGACAGCTGTGGGATGAATCTCGCACTTCAAACATGGTCTGAAA